TTAACTCACTGAGACTGTTCATCTGACTCTCAAACGTGGTACACTACTTCCACTGAACAGTTCCGTCACCATGTACACGCTGCAGTCCAAATGGCGCTACCTAATCATGTTCTTGGGCGTCCAGTTAGTGGTCATGGCTCTTCTCTCTAGAGAGGGCTACCAGAAAAGAGTGTCATATTTTTTCCGGATTTTCCGAAAGCCGGATACTACAACAGGACAAACAGTTGTTGGACACAACCACACGGATGTTTATGCCAACCTCTCCCTTTTGGGCTCTGCTCTTAATAAAGAGGACATGCCCTACTGCCCCAAGCAGTCTCCTCTGATTGGTGAGTTTGATAGCTCCCTTGGAAGTGTGCTATCAAGTTCCTGATCTGTCTCACTATTGAGAATATCATATCATTATTGTAGTCATAAAAAACAGTACCTGGGAGTTTTTGAAAATATTTTTTTTATGAAAAGAAAGAAAAAATAGTGGTGTGTGTGTGTGTATATATATATATATATATATATATATATATATATATAATTTAAGTAAAATATTAATGGTGTGTATATATAATTTATTTTATGACAGTTTCTAGTTTTGCGATTGAGGGGACAAAACAGAAAACTTTCTTTTCAGTTTTTTTGTGTGATTTAGGGCAAATCCTTTTTAAAATGTATTTATAATTTTTACTTTAAAAACGTTTTAATTTATTTTATGACTAAATATATGGGGTTTTCCCCTCGATCACAAAAAAATACTGGAAAAGTGATAAAAAAACTCAATGGTCAAAAGATATGGGAACCCTGCAAATAATTGAAATGGATCATCATGGATAGCATGTTAAATCTGGGTTTGGTCATGTATAACTAATCTAGGTTATCCACTACAATATTACCATTACCGTATTAGCAAGATACTGAAATGAGATAGTATAAATACTTTCTCCAATAAACCATAGTAGTTTCTGCAAATATACAGCCCAGTCATTCCAACATTTTTTTCCGGTTCATATGTGTAGTAAACTATTAAAACGACTTCGCAGTCTGTTAGCCATAAGTGTGAATCTACTATAACGTTTCCACCTTTTACAGTTTTTAAGCCTTATTAAATAGGGGTGTGAACCTACACTGGTCTCACGGTTCGGTTCAGTTACGATTATCAGGTCATCGATTCTGTTCAATTCGATATCACAATGCATTGACAATGCACTGCATCCTCAATGTTCAATTTGACTTCACATTTATAACTTGAATCGATCTGTGGAACATGTGGTAGATGCCTCGTCCTACATACGGAGCGTCATTCACAGGCTTTTAGCTGCTATATTTTTTAATAACCACCAGATGGCGCTGTGTTCGAGACACTCGAAGCTTTGAATCTTTTCCTGAACAGTCAGAGGAAATCCTCAGTGCTTCACGAGGCTTCATTTGCCCATCCCTACCCCCTACATATTTCGTTGTGCGTGACATGATTTACACACAGCATGTGTCTTCTCCAGGTCGTGCTTACCAGGTTGTTCATAAAAGCCGAAATGTGGCCAGATGTCGGCTTTTAAAGTAGTTGGAGCATTTTTAATTACTAGCACTAGTGTCTCGCCTCTCTCCGCCATTAGGCGCATTCGATTTGAAGCAGCGCTTAGTGCACAGAATGATCAATGTATGTCATAAACCGCGAGAGCAATTTGAAAGCATAAGGATCCGTCTGCTCTCTTATCGCTCTCGCGGTACTTGATGTCACACTGATCATTCTGCGCAGTGGCGCTTTAAGCCGAACACACCTAATGTATGCTACCACGACAAAGCACGTATGAGACAAATGACGTCACAAAAGCGTCAGTACATTATAATCGGTTATGGTCTATTACTGAACCGATACCGAATCGTCCTCGTCTGCATCGCGATGAATCGAAGAAACGATTAATTTCGACACCCCTATTATTAAAACAAAGTCAAATGCCTCAACCTCATCCAGTAAATATTCCTGTTCACACTCTTTACTTATGCAGGTGGACCAATTCGTGTCACTTTCCCCTCTGGGCTTACGTTTGCTGAGGTGGAGAGAAAGAATCCACTTGTTGTCCGTGGAGGGCGTTATAGGCCACCAAACTGTGAGGCTCGCCACCGCACTGCAATAATCATTCCCCACAGAAATAGGGAGCACCACCTCAAGTTCCTCCTCTACTATCTGCATCCCTTCCTACAGCGTCAGCAGCTCAACTATGGCATCTATATCATTCACCAGGTGCGTCTGCAGCCTGTTATTATTGTTGGGATTTAATTAGGTGATGCAGAAATCACTAACTTAAATTTTTCTCTCACTGGAAACAATTTGCTATTCATAAATATTGTTCAGTAGACCGTCTCTGTTCAGTAGACCGCAAATGTTGCAAGTTTGTCCCTCATAATCATTTTGCGGAGTGTTGCCACTTAGAGGAAGTAAAATAAGTGGGGGGGAAAAAAACTTTCTAGTTAAGCTGCTATTGGTACATTTTCCAGGAAAAACTGTTAATCACAGGGTTTTCTGAAAAATCTCTGATCTTTCCTCTACTAGATGATTTGTATTTTTGTCATTTGATTCACTCTAGTCAACAAAGGTCAGATTATCATTCTCACATTAAACCCTAGATTAAACCATACATTGTCAATTTTATTTGGTTGCCAAAGCAAATTTTATTCTCAGTTGGCACCTGGTGGGTGTTAATTTTAGACCGTGCTCTCACAGTTTCACATATTGTACAAAGATGAATTTGTTGCTTGGTTACATATTAAATATGCAGCTTTATTATAGTGCAACTCAACTGTGCCGGCTCCTGTTTCCTGTCAGTCAGTTGTAATCACTTTATCCTGTAGATCTAGATGCAAAACTGTACAACTCACTCTGACAGGTCAACCATCCCCTCCAGCTGATCTCTCATTTTAGTGAACAAAAATTATCTTAATACAAGAGTGTGCCAAATTCAGACCTGTTTCCCCGGGCTTTATTGTCTGGTTTTATTATTGTTGGCTTCCTGGGTTAATACAGTTTCATGTAGGATTATAGATGTACGGGATGAAATTTCCTTTTGAGTTTTGAGTTGCATTGTTGTTGCTGAATTGTGAAGCTCAATGAGATTGAAATCCTACTTTTATTTGGTCACAGTTTCTGTCCTGTTGTAATTCAATCAGACTCGTATATAAAAATATACATATATAATACTTTGATTCAGCAAGGATGCGCTAAATTGATAAAGTATAGTTAACTAAACTATGTAAAACTAAAATCATAAAAAAAAAATCATTTTTATTTAGTTCAACTTGATGTCCTAAAATAACTAAAACTGAAATAAAAATCAATAACTTGTGTAGACTACTAAAAACTACTAAAAATAACAAAAGCACACAACGAAATTACTAAAACTTTAGGTAAAATTACAATTAAAATATTACAATTAATTATATAAAATATTGAACAAAATTTGAACAAAAACTTTAATGGAATGTCAGTCATACTAAAATAACACTTTAAAAGTGACAGTGAAGTGAGGTTTTCCATTTATAAAAATTATTTCAAATGAATGCCGTTCATGGACTTCAAAACGATACATTACCATGAAAAGAAAATCATCTACTTTCTTATGTTCCTGACTTTGATATTGCCACTTCACGTCAATAGGCCAAGGATTAGACTGTAATCCTTATTAATCTGCTCTGAAAATCCTGACCACATTTTTATGAGTATAAATGTATATCCTTCTGGGACCCAGGCATAGACTTTTGTCCTCCGTAGAGGACATTATATTTTAGTGAATTTCTCTGAGACCCTAACATGCCACAGTTTTATGTCTGGATGTCCTGTACAGAGTACATTCAGGGCTTCTTAGAGATATCAAATGTTTGGAGGTTTGATCATAAACACACCCTCTCCTTTTTCTTTAAAAATGACTGATATTGACAGAATGATGAAATTTAGCACTCTTAGGAAAATATGATAATGTTTTATAAATATCGTTTAAATCTGGCTAATTTTTAAATTGTCGTAAATAAACATCTCAGGAAAATGTTATGGGGTTTCAAATCGGAATATGACTTTTTGTTACGAAACGTGGCATAATTTTCATACATGTCTTCTGTCGAGGACACCAGGACAAACGGCATGTTAATCAGGCATTTTGGGGAAACACAAAAAATCAATAGGAAAGAAAATATTAGGGATGTAACAATTAACCGCGAGGCGGTCGAAAGTCGGTTGAGATGCCAAACAAATCGCGATACAATTGGAGTAGGAGTTTATATGAATGCATCTCTGAGCGGAACTGACTATCTTTAGAAACGTGGTATTTTCTTTTCATCTTGCCTCTGAACAATGCATATTAAAGTAGTAGCAGCTCTGCTTTGTTTACAGCGGTAACCCTGGAAACACTGTATCATTGCTGTTCCATAAGCGCCACCTGCTGTCAGAGAGTGAAACTGCGTCTCATTCAGCTCGTCTGCTGTTTCGTTCAGATATGTTTTATGTAGTATAGTTTCACAAAACTAAAGTCAGACCATTCTGTCTTTGCTTTAAATTTCGAAATTATACAGTCTAATTTAGATTAAAAACTACTCCTGCTGCATGTGTGCTGCATCTTTGTTTGTATCATGATTAAAATCCAGTTGTTGCCTCTCATTTTAAATGGAAAGAGCACAGACAAAGCCTTAGTTTGTTCATATTAAGAGATTTCTTTGATTTGTGTAACTTGTTTGTTTTAAAAAATTAAACTTAGTTTTGCCATATTTTAATTTCACAAAGAAACGTGCAGCCTAATAAAACAACACCTTTTCTTCAATCTCATTTTCTTAAAAAAATCGTGAGGAAATCGAATCGTGAAATCAAAATCGTGAATCGAATCATGAGTTGAGTGAATCGTTACATCCCTAGAAAATATAGATCAATATTCCGATGAAATATGAGATATTCTTATCAAAATAATGGCAAGTTATTACTCCCATTATTACACTTCTTTTTTCATTATGGTTTGCCCCAAGGATACATTAATATGCAAATTAGATGCAATGTATGGATAGATTATATGGAATGGGAATACCAATTTATGGTACAGTAATAGCCTATATCAAATCATTCTGTTATATCTTTCATAACATAGTTGAGAATCATTGTACAAAGCTTGGCTAAATAGCCTGAAACCTAAAAACTGATTGGTGAATGAAAAAATGAAATGTTGTTTTTGCCTATACATGCCTTTTCATGTCTGTTTTTTTTATTTTATTTTTTTTAAATAACAGTCCTGGCATCCTCTACAAAGGACATAGAATAAAATATGAATAAATTTTTTTTTTCTCAAAAATTTATTTTCTCCATTTGTTTCTTATGCTCCAACCGATGTAATGACATAAAAAAACCAACAAATTCTCAAAACTTGTTTTCTGGTTCTCAGGAGGATTTACAGGCTGCACAGCTGAGTTTGTATGCTTTGTTTTATCAGTATTTGTGTAATTGGATTTTATATGGACTCATTTGTTTTTACAGACACTAAATAATAGCTTAATGTATGTTAGGTTCTTATCATTATAAATTGTTCAATAACAATAACGGTCTGTGTGTAGGCTGGTAATTACACCTTTAACCGAGCAAAGCTGATGAACGTGGGATTTCGCGAAGCCATGAGGGAAGAGGACTGGGACTGTCTCTTCTTTCATGACGTGGACCTCATTCCCGAGGACGACCGCAACACCTACATCTGCGACGCTCACCCCAAACACGCTGCCATTGCCATGGACAAATTTGGCTACAAGTCAGTGTTCTGCCCGCTCTCTAGCTGCATTTCATTAGACTTCATTTGACTGCATTTCACTTGCACATAGATTATGCACATATGCATTAGGGCTGCACGATTATGACAAAAATCATAATTGTCGATTATTCCCTTGAAATTGTAATTGTGATTATTAATTACGATTATCACAATTTACACTGAATGATGTTTATACCATTGTTTGATGCAACTGCATGCCGTATTTTTATATGAAAATAAACAAGCTGAAAACACTCTAACTGAAAAACCTTTAGTGCTTTTCTATAGTATTAAGCCTCAAATGTCAAATATACATCGGATTGGTTTCTTCTTTAAATTATAAAAAATATGAATGGTATTATAATGTTATACTAAAACTAAAACAATGGAAAAACCCTTAAGATAACATGTAGAAAGAAAAAAACATCTTAAGCATGCAGAATAACATAAATGGACTTTTAATGATTAATTGCCGCTTTGAACGATTACGTAATTGTGGCATTCATAATTGTAATCGTGTTTAGAAATTCGATTAATTGTGCAGCCCTGCACATTATGTATTACTGTGACTTTCAAACAACTAAAAAGTGAAATCAGTAATAAAAACAAACTCATGTAACAATAAAATGCTTATAGTTGAATAAACAGTCGCAAAACAAAAAAAATATGCCACTGAACTAAAGGGATTTAAAAGTATGAATTACTTTACATTTATATTGTTGTGCATTTCTCCTGCCTGTTATCAATCAGGTTGCCTTATAAGATGTATTTTGGAGGCGTATCGGCTCTGACCCCTGTTCAGTACCTCAAAATGAATGGTTTCCCAAACAATTACTGGGGCTGGGGTGGTGAGGACGATGACATTGGTGTCCGGTGAGTGAGCACGGGGGATCTTGTGTTTATTTGCTTTGGAGGGGTTGAGTGTGTGCACAGATGATTTGTGTGTGTGTGTAGATTAATGGAGAGGTCTGTGTGGGCGGACATCTGTCTTTGTGACACAGCTGGTCATGAACCACCTGTCTTTTCTAGCTTCTCTAGTTCAAAGCTAAAGTGTCCACATCTGACAAGTGTTACTGTCTGCTTTATAGAGGTGGATTGTGTGGACTGATGTTTGTGAAAATTATAGCTGAGTCATGGCTCACAAGCTAGGCCACATGCGAAGGATCGAATAAAATATATATAAAATGTACTGTATAGTTATGCTGTACAATTAAAAAGAAATTCATATAGGTGACATTTTTTAACTTGAAAAGCATAATTTGCCAAAGACTTGAAATGTTGGCTTGACAAAGCCTTTTTAAAAAGTTAAAAAATAATTTGTATTTAGCTTGTATACATTTGTGTTCAAAAGTTTGAGATCTGTAAGATTTTTTTAACTGTGTTCCTCAAAAACACAGTGGCATTGTTAAACGTTATTTCATTTTAAATGACTGTTTTCTATTTCAATATGTTTTAAAATGCCATTTATTCCTGTGATTGTAAAGCTGAATTTTCAGCAGGCTTTATTACTCCAGCCTTCAGTGTCACATGTGTCCTTCAGAAATAATTTTAATATGCTAATTTGGTGCTCAAGAAACATTTCTTATCAATAATCAAGGTTGTGCTGCTGATATTTTCATGGAATATGAATGAATGTCTTCACTTTTGATCAATTTAATGCTTCCTTGCTGAATAAAAGTATTAATTTCTTTCAAAATGAAAAAAAATCTTACTCACCCCAAACTTTTGATTGTTAGTGTATTTTATCACATTTACTAAATTAACTTTTGTGGACCAGAGTGAAAGAACGCCTCGCTTCCTAGAATGCATTACTTGTGCTGAATTTGTCAGAATGTGATGTAGAGGAATTCACCGAATTTTATTCAGATTGAAATTGCAATGCAGCTTCCTGTGAGGTGTGGCCTATTCAATTAAATTGACACTTATGAATTGAAAGGGAACCAGTTCCTCAGATTTATTCCCAACCCAATCCTGAGTCGCCTTCTGCTTTTTTGCAACACTGTCTAACTTCCTTCATCTTCTCAGGGTCTCACTTGGAGGAATGCTAATCAGTCGTCCATCTCTAAAAGTCGGCCGATATAAGATGATCAAACACAAGCACGACAAAGGCAATGAAGTGAATCCCAAAAGGTAGAATCACCTGACAACCATCTGATAAATAGACAACAACTTGTGATGACAGAATGTTTCAGTGTCTTTCTGTAGTCGTTGATTGTGAAATCCGCACATTAACATTCTAAAGGTGCGATCACATTAGCAAAATTTAGTGGGCAAAAATGGTCCATTGCCTTATTTTGTAAAATCACTTACAAACCAAGCAGGTTTCTGTTGGGAAACGCAACAAATCTCAAGCTTGTTGCGAAATCTCCATTTGGAAACATTTTGCGAAATTCCCAATTGTGTGGATTCCTATTGAAATGACTGCATTTCGACAGTGGAAATTCACAGAACAGTGTTAAATATGACTGCACCTTAACACATTTTGTCCTTAACATATGATAGCATCATCTGCTAGAACTTCCTCTGTTCAAGCCGTTACCTCTCATGCAGGTTTAACATGTTGGCTAAGACCCGGAAATGTGTCTTTAACATATGATAGCATCATCTGCTAGAACTTCCTCTGTTCAAGCCGTTACCTCTCATGCAGGTTTAACATGTTGGCTAAGACCCGGAAATGTGTCTTTAACATACGATAGCATCATCTGCTAGAACTTCCTCTGTTCAAGCCGTTTCCTCTCATGCAGGTTTAACATGTTGGCTAAGACCCGGCATACGTGGAAAGAAGACGGTATGAATACGGTGGAGTATGAGATCGTATCCCGGGATTACCAGCCTCTTTACACCAACATCACGGTCAACATTGGCACCGAGGCAGGCCTGCACCCGACTAAAAAAAAAGCTGCTTCTTAGCTGAATCCTAGCATTGTTGTGGATCCCAGAGGCACAAGTCTTAGCGCCAATGCCGCATTGCCTGCAGACTTCACCCACATGCACATGGCCAGTGAATTCATGGGACATCATGCCTTTACTGCACCACAGACCTTCTGTTTTTCTCTGTAATAGCGGTGCCATCTAGTGATCCCAGATTCTCTGTCCTTTCTCTCTCTCTTTTTCTCCAAAGTTTGACACTCTGATCCTGTACTCACTGGTTTACTTTATAAATCAGGATGCTGCAGAAACTTCATCAGCTGGTCCACTCACTGACCGCTTCACAAACTTAGTAGGAAGGAAGTGTTTCCTGACAGACAGACTTTTCATGTATCCTCTGTGCCCATGGGCACCATTGAAAAACCTCTGTTGCCTTAGAATCAAGCTGCATTCTCTCCTTACATTTCTTTCATGATGACTAGAGCGTAGCTTCGGCCGCCCGTGGTTGACGTGTCGCAGTGGGTTAGGCCGACTTTTTAGGAGGAGTAAAATTAATTTTTTTGCCACGTGAGGGAAATAGTGAAGCAGGCCGATCAACTACATGAGCAGCATTGTTTGCTGCACTACTCTGTGAGTCTGGTGCATTTCCTTTTCAGTAAATTAGTACTTTTGATTATGTACTGTATTGCTATCCAGGTGGGTGGAGTGATATTTTGTTATATATCTTCCATTTCGAGTAATTCAGTCAGAACTGGCCTCTTTGGTAGTAATAACCACTCTACATATCCTGATGTTCTTTTTTTTTATTTCTGAATTGTCATAATTGCCTTTGGTTATCTTAGTAATAATATTGGCTTTTATAATCAATGCGCTGCCTCTCATTTTCACGAATTACTCAACACATTGTATTTTATCTGCATGATTTTTTTTTTTAATGATTGGCTGGTTGTGTGCGGTTTGCTTTGGCTCAGGCAATAGGCTTGTTGAATGTAGCTGTATTTCTCCTTTTGGTCAGAGAATGTCATATCAGTGAAGAGCGCATCGTGTTGTGTCCATTTGGATGGCTTGGTGAAAAGTACATACTTCCGTACATATTTGATTATTCAAAGATATTTCCTAGAAATGCTCTTACCTTGTTATCCGAGCTTTTTATAAAGACCTTCAGCCTCATAAAACACAAGCATAAACTGTTTGTAAAACCATTTTTAAGTAAATTGTCCCATTGAATAAAGTGAGCTAAGAACATCTGTAAAATAATTATTGCATTGATTCGAATACGCTTAACATTCGTAAAACCATTTTTACATAGTTGCTTTGAATCAAATGTGCTACATTTGTAAAAATCAATTGTATGTAAATTGGTGTAATGAATCAAATGCGCTAACAACTTTGAAACCATTCTTATGTAAATTGTTGCATGAAATTAAATTAAATGCTAATGTTCGTAAAACCTTTTTTAGATAAAGTGTTGAATTTAAATTGAATGCTATAATATTTGTAAAATCATTCTTGTGTTAATTGGAAGTAATAAATCAAATGCGCAATCAATCGTAATAAACCATACTTGTGTAGGGTGCTGCATTAAATTAAATGCGCTATTATTAACAAACCATTCTTAAATTGTTGCATTGCAGTGAATGCGCCAACATCCATAAACGTGAGCTGTTGCTTTCCGTTGAATGCGCTAATATTTGTAAAACCATTCTTGCATATATTGGTGTAATGAATCAAAATCATTCTTAATGTAAATTGCTGCATTAAATTAATGCTCTACTGTTCATAAACCATTCTTAAGAAAATTGTTGCATTGTCAAACGTGTTAATATTTGTAAAACTATTCTAGAATACATTTACGGTTAATTGTATACACTAACAATCATAAAACTATTCCATTCAGTGCAACCATTTACGTTGGAATGGTTACGAACAATTTACAAATTGGTTGTTTTGGTTGTTGTTCATGAATGAGACCCATTATTGGCACAGTCTGGACATTTTTTTTTTTTAATTCTCAAACATTTAAATTTACACCTCTGACACAGATGACAAAAGAGATTGATTTCATATTTAAAAATGCGTTCATGAATTTGGAGAAACATCAGTTCTGAAAATTAGACCGAATCATGGCCTCCACTGGGTAATGCTAGCCTTGTATTTGCCATGCCTTGTTCCTGTCTAACTTCTAAATGTCTTCTGCATTGTTTAGTCTCATGACAGTCCAGTCACCAGATACACGGATGCTTCAGACGGATCTGTGCACGTGTGGATACGTGAATCTCAAATACACGTTTATGATAATGAGAGAACTCGATCATACATTGTTTTTCGAAAGCTGCTGTTCTCTGTGTGAATGTGAAAGGTGGAGGTATTGCTCCCCTCTTTACTAGTTTGTATGCTGTTGGTAGCTTGTGAAGGGTCATTTAAAAAAAAAATGGTGTTGGGTCATTGAAGCAAGTCATTGGATGTCATTGAGGCAGAGATACCAAAAAAAATCTTTTTTTTTTTTTTTTTTTTTTTTTTTTTTTTAAAAAACTTTTTTTTTTTTTTTTTTTTTTAAAAGTAGGTTT